GCCATGACCTCCTGGTTCATAGGTCAAGGCTCAACCACTGGGCCACGCCAGCCGGGCTCATCCCAAACAGTTACAGGTGAGGACTCCGAGGCTCAGAGACGGGGGCACGGCCGGCTAGCCAGCAGCAGAATGAGCATGCAACCTTCCCTCTGTGAAAGGCTCCCCTCTGTGAGATGCTCCCCTCTGTGAGATGCTCCCCTCTGAGATGCTCCCCTATGTGAGATGCTCCCCGCTGTGAGAGGCTCCCCTCTGAGATGCTCCCCTCTGTGAGAGGCTCCCCTCTGAGATGCTCCCCTCTGTGAGAGGCTCCCCTCTGAGATGCTCCCCTCTGTGAGAGGCTCCCCTCTGTGAGAGGCTCCCCTGTGTGAGGTGCTCCCCTCTGTGAGAGGCTCCCCTGTGTGAGGTGCTCCCCTCTGTGAGAGGCTCCCCTCTGTGAGATGCTCCCCTCTGTGAGAGGCTCCCCTCTGTGAGTGGCTCCCCTCTGTGAGAGGCTCCCCTCTGTGAGGTGCTCCCCTCTGTGAGAGGCTCCCCTCTGTGAGATGCTCCCCTCTGTGAGAGGCTCCCCTCTGTGAGAGGCTCCCCTGTGTGAGAGGCTCCCCTCTGTGAGGTGCTCCCGTTCCAGGCACACACCTCACTCTCCTTTCAGGGCCGCAGTGTGATCTGGGACGGCTGCACAAGGTCACCTGGGCCACTCGGGGGGCAGTGGAGGTAACAGAAAGGCTGCAAAGAGAGCCAGGCTTGGGTCACAACCTAGTTCTGCTGCCTCACCCGATGAAAGCTCGGGCTTCCCGGACCTCGGCTGTAACTCAGAAATGACAATTAGGAAGAATGGTCTAGTCCAGCCGTGGGCAAACTACAGCCCGCGGGCCGGATCCGGCCCGTTTGAAATGAATAAAACTAAAAAAAAAAAAAAAGACCGTACCCTTTTATGTAATGATGTTTTCTTTGAATTTATATTAGTTCACACAAACACTCCATCCATGCTTTTGTTCCGGCCCTCGGGTCCAGTTTAAGAACCCATTGTGGCCCTCGAGTCAAAAAGTTTGCCCACCCCTGGTCTAGTCACAGGCTGGGATTGGGAGCTTAATGAGCTAATACACCTAAGAGGCTCGGCATGGGCAACACACGTTGACTATTAAAGCTACTGTTACCATGAAATTCCTGGAACCCCAGCGCAGGAGGGGGGAAGGGAAGGGTCAGCCTTGGGTGTGCTCAGAGGCCCTCTGTCCTGCCCTGTCTTTCCCTCTTTGGCTTTTCTTCCCTAGGTCAGAAAAGGGGGCGGTGGGGGGGGGGGAGAAAGGGGAAATCTGGTTTATAACTCCAGAAAAAGAAAACCAAACAGGGAAACTTCTGGAAAATTCTGTAACTTTAGACAGGAAAGAGGCCAGACTCCCGGCTGGGCCAGGATGGGCTGGCAGCCTCTCAGGCCTGGCTCAAGGAGGCCCTGGTGTGCATGTGTGTGTGTGTGTGTGTGTGTCTGTCTGTCTGTCCTCGTCCTCCATCTCCTCTCCCTCCAGCAGCGAGGCTGGAACCCCAGGAGATGCTGGGCTCCTTGCTGTGAGTCCTTGGCAGCTGCCTGTTAGCAACGAAGGCAGAGAGAGGCCCCTCCCCGCACTGAGAACCCTGATTGCACGGGGACAATTCTCCTGGCTCTCAGATCTGGGAGTTTCCTGAATGCAGTAATTACCATACACCCCTTAGAATGAAGTCGATGGCTTGGCCCCGCGCCAGGGGCTCTGTTGTCAGCACCCCTGGTCCCCAGCCACCCGCCAACCATGTCCCTCATTCCCCCTCCAAAGAGGTGTGTGAGCGGGTGATGGGGCCACAGTCAGCACACAGGCTGAAGTGTTGGGACAAGGGGCCCTGAGCAGCCTGGTTGGGTGGGGAGATCAGAGGGCCCAGGAAGGGGCAGTGACAGAGGGGAGAGGACAGGCTGGCGTCTTCGCTCCTGGAAGCCTATGATGGAAGAGGAGATTGTCTAGGTAACCCTCCCCCTGGCCCTCACCTCCTGCTCCCTCGCGGCCGGCTCACATCAAAGTGGGGGCCCGCTCCCCGTGCTCTGCTCCCTGAATGGGTCCAGGTCATCACTCCTGGCTCCTGGAGGCTGCTGATGGACGGATGGGAACAGCTCCCAAGTGCTGAAAGACAGGCTAGCAGAGCCTCCTCGCTCAGCGCTGGCCTCGCCTGGATCTCTGCGTGGGGGAGGCTGCCCCCCTGCCGCCCGCCCCTTCCCTGCCCCCACCCTCACAGCTCCCCAGGGCAGGCTGGGTAATTGTGTCAGGGGAGGGGGTGTGCAGCTAGCTCTGTCACTGGGGTTCAGAGGCCCACACATGCAGTGGGAGGTGGGTGAGAGGTGAGGGCCGAGGACGCCTAAATCCTCGTCAGAAAGGCTGTGGGAGCAGCGGAGTCCAGCGGGAGGCAGGGTGAGCCTGCCCTGGGTGAGCACCACCCAGGAAGGACGGAGAAGGGCAGGGCGCCAGCAGACGCACGTGTGCTGCAACTCTAATACATTGTGGCTTCCAAACTAGTCACCCTTATTTTCCCTCCATTATTTATTCTATAATATTTCGACCTGTAAATTAGTCAAAATCTCAACTATTGATCAGGGCTGACCAACAGGTGGAATGGAAATCATTACTACACTGAGCCCAAAGAAAACCAGCCCAGAGCTAAGAACTCTTGGCATTTTAGCGAAGCTGTGGTAGTAAGTGCATCTGTCCATGAGGCTTTTTGATAGTTGAGAGCAGTCTGATTATGCGTCCACATTCCTATCATGAACGTGCAGTACTTTGACGGCTGAGTGTTTGTGAGTCACATTCTATTTCAAATCCACTCGGGTGGCGAGTCCAAACCACAATCGGGAAGCCCTACTACCTCATTCCACCAGAGAACAGAAAACGACAAGTTTTCTACTAAAAAAGTAGGGACCGAAATTGACTTCGTTGGGGTAGCTGAAGTCAGGGTCATGAGGAGGTTAGAGAAAGACAGCAGAATCCTTTTGTGTAGGATACCCTATACTTGCTAAAACCTAGTCCCACTTAGAGTAGCTCCCCAAGAAAAGGGATCACACCTAGGAGGCTGCTGCCATCTCGTGGCCAGACCAGGAACTACCGTTATTTCTTGTTTTGCTTCATTCACATTAATACTGTAATAAAACTAAAATGTGCCCTATGAAATTATTTATATTCGACCCAGCACAACCCTAAAAATGTCAGCTTGCCCTAGCTGGTTTGGCTCAGTGGATAGAGCGTCAGTCTGTGGACTGAAGGGTCCCAGGTTTGATTCTGGTCAAAGGCACATGCCAGGGTTGTGGGCTCAGTCCCTAGTGTAGGGCATGCAGGAGGCAGCCGATCAATGATTCTCTCTCATCATTGAGGTTTCTATCTCTCTCCCTTCCTCTCTGAAATCAATAAAAATTAATTTTTAAAAAGTGTCAGCTTACCAAAAAATTTCATGGGGGGAGGAATAACCTTTTCAATAACTGGTGCTGGAATAGCTAGACCCACATGCAAACTTGGACCCTTTCATCATACGCTGAAATGAACTTAAACTGGATGGTAGACCTAAATGTAAAGTGAAAACTAAAAAACTACTAGAAAAAATATAGGAGGAAATCTCCAAGACTTTGGATTATGCAATGTTTTCTTAGGTCTGACACCAGAAGCACAACCCACAAAAAGGAAAAAATAAACGACATCAAAATTTAAAACCTTCATGTTGCAGATAATATAATCAGGAAAGTGAAAAGGCAGCCCACAGAAGATATTCACAAGTAATATATCTGGTTAAGGGACTGGTGTTCAGGATATAGAAAGAAATCTTACTACTTAATAATAAATAGGCAAATAATTTTTAAAATGGGCAAAAGACTTGGGTATTTCTTCAAACAAAATAGGGCATTATGCTATGTAAAATAAGTCAGAGAGAGAAAGACAAATATATCTTAGGAACTCACTTATTATATGGAATCTAAAAACAAAACAGAAAGCCCGGCTGGCTGGCGTGGCTCAGTGGTTGAGCGTCAACCTATGAACTAGGAGGTCACAGTTCAATTCCCGATCAGGGCACATGCCCGGGTTGTGGGCTCGATCCCCAGGGTGGGACATGCAGGAGGCAGCTCATTAATGTTTCTCTCTCATCACCGATGTTTCTCTCTCCCTCTGTGAAATCAATAAAAATATATTTTTTAATTGCTTTAGTTAGCAATATACAGGGAGATTTCACATAAACATCTGGATTTCCTGACTCTGAAAATAATTATAACAGCTGTTCCCACACAGCCACACCCAGACGGAGCCATCAAATGCCCTCTTCAGACAGCGTGTGTACCCTCACCACGTGTACACCTGCCCGCCCCACTCCTTGCTGTTATCTGCCTGCGTTTCTTTCCACTTTCCTGCTGTCACGCACCCATCCCGGGCCCCACGACCACTGGTGAAGCATGGCTCACAGGCTGGAGCTGGAGGGAATCCCTGAATTGTGTGTCTACAAAACCTGAGATGGAAAATGAAGCAGAAGGGCTTGCTCATGGTCCCGCAGCTCCACGAAGACAGTGACGGGCAGCTTCTGAATTTCTCCGTCCATCAGCACCAACCACACGCTTTCCAACCACAGGAGCCTTCCTGGTGGACCAAAAGCTTTATTGTTGGGTGAAAAGTGCCTGCTCACAGGTTCTGTGCTGCCGTTCTCCATTTCCAATTACTGACGCCACCTGCCTGGTCCTGGGCTCTCTTCCATTTTGGCAAGATGACCCCGAGGCAGGGAGACTTCCCACAGGCTTTCCCAGAATGTGGCCCAATAGCAGAAAATACACTTCAGTTTCCAGTAAAAGCCGTGAGCAGCTGGGGTCCTTCAACTCCTCACTTGGCTCTTCTGGAGTCTGTCCCACGGGAGAAGTTAGCCACGTCCATTCAACAAAGGGAAGAATTCAGGGCCAGTGCGCACTGTCCAGCTGTCTCCCCGGAGCTCCCAGGGGCCCAGGAGTCTCCCCGAAACTCCCAGGGGCCCAGGTGTCTCCCCGGAGCTCCCAGGGGCCCAGGAGTCTCCCCGGAGCTCCCAGGAGCCCAGGTGTCTCCCCGAAGCTCCCAGGGGCCCAGGTGTCTCCCCTGAGCTCCCAGGGGCCCGGCCGTCTCCCCTGACCTCCCAGAGGCTCAGCTTTGTTGCTTGTCTGGATCCTGACTCGGCAGCTCTAAGCCCAGGCGGCTCAGAGAGCGTACAAAGTATCGAGGGAGCCTGCAGACCAGGCTGAGCTCCTCGTTCCTGGACCCCAGGGCAGGCAGGACGAGCTGGCGGGCATGCAGGTGCAGAGGGAGGTGGCGGGCCTTCGACTGTGGCAGCCCCAGCTTCCGCAGAGTGCCGGCAGACAGCTTCTGCACAAAGAACAGAGGCCTTGTGAGAGCGGCGCCAGCAACAGTGCACCCTTGACCAAATGCAGGTCAGAAGCCTGGCACTGGAGGCCGGGACAGGAGCACCCCCGGGAGAGGCAGCATGGCAGCCTGCCGCAGAAGCACCAACAGGAAGGGCTGGGGACCCAGGTAGGAGCTCCCGCCACAGCAGGGAGGCCCGAATGGCCAGTTCTCTGCCCTCCACGGAATGGGCTGGGCACCAGGACAAGAAGCTCCCAGCATGCTCTTCAGCAGCATGAAAGGGGACTATGAGCCTTCAGAGAGCCTCGTATCCCCACAGCCTCCTAACAAAACCGGAGTCCTGCCCGGCTAGCGTGGCTCAGGGGCTGAGCATCAACCTATGAACCAAGAGGTCACAGTTCGATTCTCGGTTGGGGCATATGACCGGGTTGCAAGCTTGATCTCCGGTGTGGGGCGTGGGGGAGACAGCCAATCAATGATTCTCTCTCATTGTTGATGTTTCTATCTCTCTCTCCCTCTTCCTTTCTCTGAAACCATTAAAAAAAAAATATATATATATATATATATATTTTTTAAAAAACCCAAAATCTGAGACAAATCACGCAGCAGAAAGGTTTGCTGAAGCCCTGAGGGGCATGAGGGCAGCAGCGGGCTGCTCCTGTTCTCCCTACGCCGGTAACTGGTGCTGCCGCGTCTGGCGCCCCTCGGTACGTCCTGCTGTGACTCACCAGGGGTTTCGCACGGGGAGGCCCAAGTTCTGCCCCACAGTCGGCTACAATTCGGGTCAAACCCATGTTACCTGGGGGGCCAACTTATTCCAGTCCGAGTACTTGTGATCGCCAAGGATTGGGCAATCCAATCCAAAAGACAGGTGAACGCGAAGCTGATGTTTTACTCCTTTAAGAAAAAGAGAGAGAAGACTCGTGAGTGGCGACAGAAACAGTGCCACTGGCAGCATCTGCTTCTAATCCATTAACTCAAAGCACAGTAAGCTGGCAAAGCCCCAACTACATTCAAGGATAAAGAACAATATAACAACCTATAAGCTATTAGGAAGCAAACATTATAAATACTGTTACACCCCCAATTTCCCCTCCCCCCACAGTCCCCTTTCCGCCACAGACAGCCATTAGCATCAACCTGGTGTCTATCTCTGCCATGCTGGGTTTTCAAAAAATAATTTTATTATATAACTCAATAGTATTGTCTTACTTTTTTTTTATTGTGGCAAAATATATATAACATAAAAGTTACCATTTGAACACTTTTAAGTGTACAGCTTAGTGGCCATAAGTATATTCACACTGTTGTACAACCAGCACTACCATCCATCTCAGAAATTTTGCATCGTCCTGAACTGCAAATGTACCCATTAAACACTAGCTTCCCATCTCCTCCTCCCTCCAGCCCCTGGAACCACCATGCCTCTATTAGGTTGACCACTCTAGGTATCTCATATCACTGGAATCTTCTATATATATAAAAGCCTAAGCAATAGTTACGACTGGTCAACCGATTGCTATGATGCTCACTGACCACCACACCAGGGGACAGACGCTCAATGAAGGAGCTGCCCCCTGGTGATCAGTGCGCTCCCATAGCCAACCTCCTGCAGCCAGACAACCTCCCACGGTCTCCCCCCTCCCCCGCCGGCTGCCCCAATCGGGACTGGGAAGACGGCCCCAATCAGCCCCAACTGCTGGCCAGGCTGAGGGACCCTACCCGTGCACGAATTCGTGCACCAGGCCTCTAGTCGTACAATATTTGTCCTTTTGTGCCTGGCTTATTTCACTCAGCATATTGCCCTCAAGGTCCCTCCTTGTTGCAGCACGTGTCAGCATTTCCTTCCTTTTTAGGGCTGTATAATATTCCACTGTGTGGATATACCACACTGTTCATCCATTCATCTGTCAGTGGACATCTGGGATGCTTTCATTTGGCTACTGTGAATAGTGCTGCTAGGAACATTGGTGTGCAAGCATCTTTTGAATCCCTGCTTTCAATTCTTTTGGATGCATACCCAGGGGTAGAATTACTGGATCACATGGTAATTATATGCTTAATTTTTTTGAGGAACCACTTGGCACTATTTTAAATAAGTGTAAACAAACTATTTATATCTCATTGCTACCTACTGTTGTTGCTTTTTGTTGTCTGTTTTTTAATATTTATTTTTATTGATTTCTGAGAGGAAGGGAGAGGGAGAGATAGAAACATCATTGATGAGAGAAAATCACTGATCGGCTGCCTCCTGCACTGGGGATCGAGCCCACAACCCAGGTATGTGCCCTGACTGGGAATCGAACCCTGATCTCCTGGTTCATAGGTCGATGCTCAACCACTGAGCCACGCCGGCCGGACAGCTACCTACTCTTTTTAACTATTATCTCTCCTGGAGCTCCCAGCCTCTCCAACAAGTCAGCTGCAATTCTACCCCCACAATACCAGCTGCTCAGAAGGGCAGAGCCCAGCAGCCCTGGGAACCCTGCAGGACAGCGGCACCTCCCACCGTGGAGTGGCAGCACCCTCACCAGTAACAGGATGGAGCTCCAACAGGGCGGAGGAGACGGTGCTACTCAGCACCTGGTACTGCGTCACAGCCACGTGCGCGCTCCGGCTGGTCCGCATTCTCACCATCTTCCCATTGTCCATGCGGTAGCTTGGGGACAGCGTCATCTGAAGCCAAAGAAATCCAGATGTGATTTCAACGGACAAGCAGAAAACCTGTCCTCCCGGGAGGCGGCTCACCCACCTTGTGGTGCTGCTGCTGCCCTTGCACCTCCTTCTCCACGATGGGGATATCCACGACGCCTGCTGAGGGCACGGGGACGCGCACCGTGATGGCCCTGGGGGGACACAAGAGTGAGCGAGGCATTCCTTGGATTTGGCTGCTTGGAGGTCTGCACAGCGGACCTGCTGTGGTCCGTGCCTAAGATCAGAGGGGCCCAAACCATCTCGTGGTAGAGGGCTTGGCCTGAGAGCTTGATATTCTTCTTACAGCATAGCTCTTTTACTCCTCAAGGAACGTATGTTCATTGTAGAATATATGGGGAGGGGAAACAGAAAAATATTATACTGATAACATGGTCTTTCATGCCAGCCTTTAAAAACGAGTACGTACAGTTTAAAGTAAAATTAGTGTGGTTTTCGTATCCTCTTTTTTGTAAATAATAAAAGGTGGTAAGTTCTGATTGCATATGAAGCAAATACAGTGGGGCCTTGACTTACGAGTGTCCCGACTAACGAGTTTTTCGAGATACGAGCTGTCTCTCGGACGATTTTTTGCTTTGAGTTGCGAGCTAAAATTCGGGTTACGAGCCAGCTTCAGATACCCCACCACTAGTTGGCGCGGCAAACGTCACACTGAACGCCACAACATCAGCCCAGCATCACGTGTCTCACTTGTTCACTTTCTGATTTGACATACGAGTAATTTGAGTTACGAGCTCCGTCACGGAATGAATTAAACTCTTAAGTCAAGGCCCCACTGTAAATGAGCTGAATGAAAAACTCACAGGCCCATACCTGCCCGCTTTGCCAGGCAGATAAGACAGGGAGGAACTGTGCGCAAAGAAGTCCTGGAAACCACAGCCACACTCAGTAAGTCCTCCCGATCAGTCTGTCGGAGGCCTCTCCCCACCACATCATGGTCATGGTCACAGTCACAGTCCGACAGAGGGCTATTTAATCTGTCCTGACGCTCAAGCCTCTTCCAGGGCAATCACAGGAGTCCCCTGGTTCTAGGTGGCCTACCCCAGAGTCACTGACCAAGGGGGCAAAGCCCACTCAGACACATTTCACATCCTGGACGCCCACTTCAGGCTGACAGCCGTCGGGGCGGCTGTGACGCGTCATCCTACTTAAGCCTGAGTTGTAACTACTAGAGCATCCTTCCTGGTGACCTAACATCACTGCTCAAAAACGCTGTCGGTGAATATTCCCCGAATGTGAACAGGCCCTGATTCAGACAGGTACTAATTCTATGCAGATGAACAAGACAGAAGTCCCTGCTCCCAAGGAATTCACAGTCTAGTAAGAAGAGTCAAACAAGTAGCTATAATATAACAAGTTGCTATTGGCAAAAGCTAGCCAATGGTTCCTCCTATGTTCTTTTTTTTTTTTTTAAATCTTTATTGTTCAGATTATTACATTTGTTCCTCTTTTTTCCCCCCATAACTCCCCTCCTTCCAGCTCCCACCCCACCCTCCACCCTCACTCCCCACCCACTGTGTTCATCCATAGGTGCATGATTTTTGTCCAGTCACTTCCCGCATCTCCCACACCCCTTTTCCCCCCAAGAATAGTCAGTCTATTCCCTTTCTATGTCCCTGATTCTATTATAATCACCAGTTCATTCTGTACATCAGGTTATTTATTCACTTGATTCTTAGATTCATTTGTTGATAGATGCATATTTGTTGTTCATTATTTGTGTCTTTACCTTTTTCTTCTTCTTCCTCTTCTTAAAGGATACCTTTCAGCATTTCATATAATACTGGTTTGGCGGTGATGAACTCCTTTAGCTTTTCCTTATCTGTGAAGCTCTTTATCTGACCTTCAATTCTGAATGATAGCTTTGCTGGATAAAGTAATCTTGGTTGTAGGTTCTTGGCATTCAGCACTTTGAATATTTCTTGCCATTCCCTTCTGGCCTGCAAAGTTTCTGTTGAGAAATCAGCTGACAGTCGTATGGGTATTCCCTTGTAGGTAATTGAGCCTCTTTCTCTTGCTGCTTTTAAGATTTTCTCTTTGTCTTTTGCTCTTGGCATTTTAATGATGATGTGTCTTGGTGTGGTCCTCTTTGGATTCCTTTTGTTTGGGGTTCTCTGCGCTTCTTGGACCTGTAAGTCCATTTCTTTCTCCAGATGGGGGAAGTTTTCTGCCATTATTTCTTGAAATAGGTTTTCAATATCTTGCTGTCTCTCATCTTCTGGTACTCCAATAATTCTGATATTAGGCCGCTTAAAGCTGTCCCAGAGGCTCCTTATACTATCTTCACACTTTCGGATTCTTTTTTCATTTTGCTTTTCCAATTGGGTGTTTTTTGTCGAATCTTTGGTTTGATTCTTTTGCTCGTCTGGTCTGCTATTGGGTATAATATTCTTTATTTCAGTCCGTGTATGCTTACTTTCTAATTTCTTTATCGTAGCATCGAGGGTCTCATTAGTTTTCGTGAGGCTCTGCACAAATTTATGGCAAGCCCTCAAAATTGCGATTCTTAGCTCCATATCCTCCATTTCTGTCATGCTTTTTTGTCTCCGCATCTTTTATGCTTTCTTGGTGCACCCCCTTGTGGTCTCTGTGCGCAGTCTTGTTCTAGCCAAGCCTTAATTGTTGTAGTTAACACTAGAGGGATTTGACCAGCAGACCGACTGGCTGTAGGATTCTGGGGAGGCGCTAGTCCTGCCCTTGCCTGAGGCGATCGGCAAATGTCTGTGCGCAGTGCTTGGGCGGGGCGGGCTCAACAGGGCGGGGGGAGGGGGCAGCTATGGCCGCTCTCAGTCCGTCCCCAAGGGCTCTGCCTCTCTGTCCCAGCAATCGCTGCAAACCTCGGAGGGGCCGTAGCCAGACAGTCCCGCTTCTCCCGTTTGAGTCAGGGTCCCTAGAGACTCGCCCGGATCTGTAGCCCAGAGTCTGAGACTCACTCCTGAGTGAAAACGACAACCGCGCCCTCAGCCACCAGCCCGCTTTGCGCGTGCACCGCCGCACCACCGTACCTTTAAATTTTCCACACTGCGCCTCCTCTGTGCGTCGGACTGCTGTTGTTTTTGCTTCTAGTTGAAGAGTCCCTCCTCAGCCAGCCTTCCTGTGGTTCTGGTTGATGACCGTTCTGACCTTTAGCTGTATTTTTGAAGTGGTTGTTTACAGCGGCGGTCTCCGGTGTTTACCTACGCCGCCATCTTCGATTCTCCCGGTTCCTCCTATGTTCTACTTGCAACTTCTACTTCCTGCACCTTGTGGCCTACCTTCCCAGCTCTATCTACCACCACTCATCACCCGACTGGACTGTATGCCTCACTCCTTTGTGCCTGCCATTCCCACAATCTACAACACCTTTCTTCACCTTGTCGATCAAATCCTATTCATTCATCAAGACCCAATTAATTGATTTCAACTCTTCTGTGAAGCCTATTACTGAGAATGGTTACCCATACTGAACTTTCATGGACGATTTTCACAAATAACATAGCAATTTTTTATAGACTTATATTTTGATTACTTGCATACATAATAGTCTTGGTTTTCCATCTTTCAGCTTTTCCTATGAGCTCGGTACTGTGTTAAACACTTCACATGCATTACCTCACCCAAAAAGAATACTTAAAAATCAAGTAGAAAATAATAAACAACCCAACAGAAAGTGAGCAAAAGAAATAAGTCTGTTTACAGAAAGGGAAACTCAAAATAGACAATAAACACGAAAGACAGTCAACAGACAATAGGGTGGTGAAGGCCTGGGATGGGGTGGGGGCTGGGTGGACGGGGTCCAAGTGGGGGAAAATGGGGGGTTTCTGTAATACTGCCAACAATAAAAAAAAGTACACAGGCAAACTGAAAATAAAACACCCTTTAAAAAAAATTTTTGTTTTTTACCCATCTGAGTGGTAATCCTTTTAAAAACACTTTGGTCAGACAAGAGAGGAGGTGAACACTCACCCCTGGGGGAGAGAGTGAAAGCTGACAAACCCATTTTGGAGAGCAATTTGGATAGTTAAGTATTCAAATTTAAACTGTATGTACCTTCCACTCAGCAATTCCATTTCTAGGAATTTGTCCTGAAGATACACTCACATATTCTCCGCAAAAGGACTGAAAAGTGGGATATTACCTAAACATCTGCAATGAGGAAATGATGGTGTGTCCACACCATGGAATACGATAGAGCCATAGAGGAGCCAGGTCTAAAAGCACAAAACGCTCTCCGAGATACACTGTCCCCGTGAGAAGGGCGGGATGCAAGCAATGCGAAATACGCTGCCACACAGTAACACGCTTCTCCATGCCCCGTGAACTCGGGAAGTCCATTCAGGACTCTAGCAATAGAGACTGCCTCTGGAAAAGGAAACCGAGTAGATGGGGGACAGGAGTAGCTTTCATTTTTTGCTCCTGTATCTTTCTTCTATTAAAAACTGAGGGAACCCTGTATGCACTAACATGGAAGGATCCCCAAGTCACAGAGTTAAGTGGGAAAAGAAAGTACAATGTATGTCGTACAGTGTGATATACACATGCACACATACGTGTGTGTGTGTGTGTGTAGATACACATACATACATACTGTATATACTACACACATATACATAAATATGTTGACACAGGACGGGAGGTATAAAAACCAAACTGCCCCAAGGGAAGGAACAGAAATGACAGAGTGGATGGATTCTCCGGGAGTTCTTTGCTTTATTTTTGTCATTTGACTATTTGACCGCAGAAATCATGTATTACTTGTATAACTTAACTTTCAATGGTCTTCACGTATAGCCATTATTAGGAGCGACTACTCTATCAGACTCTAATGCTCAGAGTACTAAGTCTGCTTCCTACACCTTTCCAATGGCCACAGGTCCTAGCACACTGCCTCCTATTAAAGGAGTGGCCACTGTACGAATGCATGACTAGAAGGGATGCCTTCACGTCTACCGCCTCTACCGCTATCAGCGGGCTCCATACCAGTACTTCTTCACCACCTGACGGGTTCTAAACAGCTCTTGGACCTGGTGTGCCACCTCCTTGTCCCGAGCCAACACCATGACGCCTGTAGTTTCCTTGTCCAGCCGGTGGCACAGATGCAGGGGCTCTGCCTTGTGGCCATGAAGCACCTTGGCCAGGATAGGGAGGACATCACTGATGCAGAGCTGGACCCCAGGGCCACCTACGATGGGAAAAGACAGAGATTTGAGTGGCCAGGAAAAGACCCCACCAAAGAACTCTGCTTGGGAAAGAAAGCCCTTACTGGATTAACTGTCAACGCCTCCCAGGGCCTTATCCAGGGACTCCCAACATCCTTATGCCAAGGAGCTTGCTAGAAAGGAACCTCAGGTCCCCAGCCCAGACTATCCATCAAAATCTGCATTTTAATAAGATGTCCAGCCCTAGCTGGTTTGGCTCAGTGGACAGACTGTCGGCCTGCAGACTGAAGGGTCCCAGGTTTGATTTCGATCAAAGGCACATGCCTGGGTTGCGACTTGGTCCCCAGTGGGAGGCCTGCAGGAGGCAGCCAGTCAATGATTCTCTCTCATCATTGATGTTTCTATGTCTCTCTCCCTTCCTCTCTGAAATCAATACAAATATATTTTTTTAAAAAATAAAAGATGTCAAAGTAACTCATATGCATATTAAACTTTGAGACATACTACCCTAGAGCATGGATAGGGATTTCTCCGCAGATACAAATATTCTTTAATCCTCTTATGTACTATACATGCACTCACACTAAAATCAGCAACTAAAACGAGGAGGCCTGATCTTTTACTATGTAAACAAAGGCTGGAGAATTTGCTAAGTTGAGTGAGAAATGTAAGATCCTGAGGCCCTCCTGAAGCATCACAGGAGAGCTGAGAGCTGCTGGGGTGAGACATTCTTAGGTCCCACTCTGTGTTCTCTCCTAACTACCATGAGCTTGGACAGGTTGTTTAATCTTTCTAACTTTCAGTCTTCTCATCTATAAAATGTAAATGTCCGTATTATAATTATCTCATGGGAGTTGAGAAGACAGGAAACTACCGTGAAAGTCAACAGAGAAAAAAATCCATACGAAGCACTTGGCAAGGTTTAATTCCTTCCCTTTATGTACAACCTTCTCCATACCTTCCAAAAAGCATTCTTCTTCCAACTAAAAGATGCCGCCCCCGCTCCCCCCCGCCAAGCCCATACTTTTTCCATCTTTCCTGACTAACTCCAGCTGTCTGACACATTCAACATTTACTCAAAAGCATTTGCGTGTCCATGAAGTTCTAGGTCCCATGGGGTTTTGTTTTGTTGGGTATTCTCTCTCTCTCTCTCTCTCTCTCTCTCTCTCTCTCTCTCACACACACACACACACACACACCATATAATTTTTTCTTATATGTTATTTCCTCTCACCCAGTTTTGCTGGAAAATAACCTGAAGACAAGAATCACACAGCCTTTATATTCTTCTACACAATCCCTGTGGAGGTCTGCACAGGGATTCCACAAATCACTGCTGCCAGATGTTTGGAAGCTGTCTTATTGATCTGTTTCCTCAATAGTGCCTTATATAGGACAGTACTCCACGAACATTTAAATTATTTTGAATGCAAGGCTGCTGCGAGCCCCCGAAGTGACATCTGAGTGTTGCCCCTAATTGTAGCAGAGAGCAGCAGCGGCCTCCCTCCCTTTCCCACGTGGTCCTTACCATGCACAGGGAGACCATAGGGCTTATTGATGACCACGAGGTCCTTGTCCTGGTGGACGATCCCTCGGCTCAGGGCCTTAGCGAGCACGTTGGGGTGGACTCGTTGCAGCTGCTGCGTGAACCGCACTAGTTCGTGCACTCTCCGCTGGACAGGGTTTTTGAGCTCCTACGGGGTGAGAGAAAGCGATGGGAAATGCCTGATGGGGAAGACCTTCAAGAAGCCTGGGTGGGCATCTGGGCAAGGAGGGCATCCCTGAACCTTTGCAGTAAGACTCGCGCCTTCCCCCAGTAAATTGAGAGCGGGGATGCTCAGCGCCGAGCCCGCGGGAGCCAAAGACCAGCCCACAGGAAGGCACCGCACGCTGCAGACCTCTCCCTCCGCTTTCTCCCCCTTCTCCACCACCGACCGGGTCCTTTCCTTGCATTCTCTCAGAGGACCCTCGCCCGCCTGGGGAACCAGAGCGCACTGCCTCTTGGGAATTGTAGTCTTTCCCGCCGGACTCACCGGCTCCTTCTTCGCCTTTTGTTCCTGTTTCTGGGCTCGGAGCTTCTCTGCTAACGTTGGGCGTCCAGGGGCTTAGAGGCAGCAGCAGCGGCGGTACAAAATGGCTTTGGGACGAGACAGAGGAGACTGCCCCCACCCCGCCCGGAACCCCGAACCCGGAGGCGCAACACGCCCCAGCTGGGCGCCGCCATCTTGCCGAGGAGGGCGGGGCGAGTCGAGACCCCCGGACTAGGGAGGCGGGCTGCGCGGGTCACGTGGGGCGGAGGGGGCGGGGAAACCTGGGCCGAGTCACGTGAGCGTGCACGCCGAGCGCTCCTGCGCCGGCCGTTAACTGCAGTTAGAGCAGCCGGCGCAGGGAGAGGAGGACGCGGTGAGTACGCGGGGCAGCCCGGCCAGGGCTGGGCAATGCCGGCTCCCCGAGCGTTCACTTCGCGTCGCAGGATCTTTGTCTCGGAGAGCACTGCCCCGGGAGGCCGTTTTTCCCCGCGGGAGGCGATACCACGCCAAACCCTGTCCGCCTCCGCGGAGCGATGCTCCCAGACGCTCTCCCCGGAGCCTCCCGAGGCGCCGGCTGGTCCGTCCTGGCAACCGCGTCCGCGGGGCTTGGCGGGGCTCCGGGGGCGCGTCCGGGCCCCGACCGTCCATCTTCCTCACCGCTCGACCCGCGGAGATGCCCGGCCGTGCCTGTCACCTCCCGGCTCGCAGCCTCTTTGTCATACGTAGTAGCCGGTTCTCTCCCTGGGATGATGGGGGGCTGGGGGGAGCCCTCGCGTTAACCCTGGGGCCCCAGACGGGTTTCCTCGCTGGGGAACCCCTGGCGTTTCTTCTGTCCTCCCTCGGGAATGCATTTCTCGCAGCCGCCTCTCCCCCTGCCCTGTCGCTGCTCCTTCCGAAGGAGAGGCTGAGACTGGCCCCTTTCCGTTCCCTTCCTTTTTTCTTCTTCTTCCATATTTCGTAACCGCCCCAAACCCTCTTCTCTCCCCGTCTTCCTGAGGTGTAATGTCGGGGTTCTCGTGCCCAAACTGGAAGCGACTTCCTCGGACTTGGCTGCGAGGGTGGCCGGGAAGATGGACGGGGGTGGGTGGGGAGGGCGATGTGAGAAATAACACGGTGGGACCCACCTGCCGCTGGGTCGGGGGGAGGCGAAGGCCGGGTTCGGAGAACTGGGGGGATGCGCCCCGGCGACCGAGGGAGGAGGGAGCGGTGTGTGGAGGTTGCTCAGGGTGGAGGCCGCCCGAGGAGTCGGGGTGGGTCGTGGAATGGGGTTCGCGCCCTACCTACCCCCCCCCCAAAAAAAGGGGGATTGGCAGAAGGGAGCCCCGTGGAGCTAGAAATAAACCTGAGCAGGTGAGTGGGGCCAGGCCATGGGCGGCGTGAAGTTGAGGAGTTTGAGCGGGATGTGGTGAGCAGGGAGGGGTCGGAGCTTCTGGAGCCGGCGAGGGGCTCGTGCACCGGGAATCCCAGGAACGAGGCTGGCCCCCGCCGTCCCGTCCTCTGCGTTTGAGTGGGTGTTGAGCTGTCCATGTCATCAGATGGACCGTTGAGAGCCCTAGCCGGTTTGGCTCAGTGGATAGAGCGCCGGCCTTCTGACCGAAGGGTCCCAGGTTCGATTCCGGTCAGGGGCATGTACCTTGGTTGCGGGCACATCCCCAGTAGGAGGTGTGCAGGAGGCAGCTGATCGATGTTTCTAACTCTCTATCCCTCTTCCTCTCTGTAAAAAAATCAACAAAATACATATTTTTAAAAATGTACCATTGCCGAAACCAGTTTGGCTCAGTGGATAGAGCGTCAGCCTGCGGACTGAAATGTCCCAGGTTCGATTCCGGTCAAGGGCATGTACCTGGGTTGCGGGCACATCCCCGGTAGGAGATGTGCAAGAGGCAGCTGATCGATGTTTCTAACTCTCTATCTCTCTCCCTTCCTCTCTGTAAGAAATCAATAAAATATATTTAAAAAAAAATAAAAATAAAAATGTACCATTGGCCGCTGCTGCTGAACTGTGAGCCCCTTAAGGACTCGTTCGTGTTTTTACTCCCACATCTGGCACAGGGTAACCTGGAAGGTTCATTAGATGAAGTGCATCAGAGACATGAACATTTTGATTTGTCTTCGTTCTGTCATTTTTTTGACCTGAAGAATGGAGATGTCTGCAAAGAGTAGGAAAGGAGGGGTGTGTGTGTGTGTGTTTCTGTAATAAGACAGAGGATTGGGATAGAAATGCAAAGAATTACCAGGGAGTTTGGGAAGCAACTTCCCTCTCTCCTTCTGCCCACCCCATCCCTTCTGCAAATTCACAGGGAAGACATGACCTGTGAAAGTGGAGACGTCCCACCCTACAAGGATGATTATGTTTTACTGATACGCTCCGACCCAAGTTCTAATTTCACTGAAAGGTTGCACATCACATATTATTTAGGTACATGAAGACTTTTTTCCCCCAAGGACTCTGAAACTTGGACATCAGGACTTTAATTCACATCACTATGTTAATTACAATGACCGTTTCGGATATAGGACTTTTATGGTTTTGTGGGGACTGGGAAAAACTATTTCTACCTTAATTTGTCCTTGATGGCAGTAAAGAAATGATACCTGTTCTTGCAGAATTGGCCTTCTGTGGCAGGAAACAAAATGAAGCACCAACTCAGATGTCATTGCTGGTGACACAGAGCTTGTGTTCTTGGGTTTCAGTTTAACCCAAGACAACACTGTAGCACCCAAGAATAAAAACACTGGTCACTTTTTTCTGGAGAAGGAACTTCTAGATTTTTGTTGTTGAAACGTCATAAGAAAACTTTGAAGAATTCAATGTCCTTGTTTTGCTTGTTATCAGTCTTAGCCAATATGGGTACAGAAGTTACAACTTCCCTAATGTTTCTCCTATGAGTCTAGGCATTTGGTGATTTAAAGTAGAGTTGCTAAGTGCATAAGAATTTATGCAAATATGATGTCTATCTTTTGTTTTTTAAAGCTATTTTGCCTCCTTCCTCAATCAGCTGATCCTGCCTTAGGCAGTTTATTTGTTCCACTTCTGTAGCAGTCTCACATTCTGTGTTTGGTTGACTCATCTGGACTGTTTTCTCAGTACAAGGAAGAAAATTCTATTTGTGGTGTTTTCATTCTTATAGAGTTCAAAGGTGGCATATTTACATATATTTTAAAATTTTATTTATTGGGGTAACATTGGTTAATAACAAGTTTCAGATGTACAACTTTTTTTGTTAAAAGCAATGGCGTTTATTGATTTTTCTTTTTGTAAAAAAATATATTTCTTTATTGATTTCAGAGAGGAAGGGAGGAGAGAGATAGAAACATCAATGATGAGAATCATTGATTGGCTGCCTCCGGCACACGCCACACTGGGGATGGAGCCCGCAACCCAGGCATGTGCCCTTGGCTGGAATTGAACCTGGGACCCTTCAGTCCGCAGGCCGATGCGCCATCCACTGAGCCAAGCCAGCTAGGGTGATTTTTCTTTTTTTAAGGGAGAGGGAGGGGGGGAGAGAAAGACATTGATTTGTTTCACTTATTGCTACATTCATTGGTTGCTTCTTGTATGTGCCCTGACCAGAGATCAAACCCGAAATCTGGGCGCATCCGGATGATGCTCCATCCAACTGAGCTACCTGGCTGTGGCAGGTGTACCACTTTTTAATATGACATCTGTGGACTCGTTTATGTGCTCATCACTCGAAGTCTAGTCTCCTTGCATCACCATATATTGTCCTCCGTTATCCTCTTCCTCTCTGGCAACCACTACTTACAGATTTTGCTATATCATATATATCAAGTGCCCCCAAAATAACAATATAAAGAACTTAATTCATTTTTAAGGATGTTTCCTGATCTTCAAAAACAAAGCTACCTTTTTATTTCACAGATATAAGGACTACTAATAAAGGAAGTTGTGTTTAAATATCACAAATTTAAGTTTAATTAGTGGCATAAGGTTAAATGCTGGCTTCTCAAACAATGATTTGCTAGTTGCATATTAACCAGCAATTCAGTTTCCCCTGAGGAGCAGGAAGTACTTGGACATTGTTTTATGGTTTTAGAGAGAGTCAAAGAAGCAATTAGCGGGAGCTCTGGAGGTGTCCTAGAAAGTGCATTTGTTGGGCCCAGCTGGTGTGGCTCAGTGTTGAGCGTTCACCTTTGAACCAGGAGGTCACCATCTGATTCCCAGTCAGGGCACATGCCCAGGTTGCAGGCTCAATACCCAGGACTGGGTGTGCAGGAGGGAGCAGATCAATGATTCTCTCTCATCATTGATTTTTCTATCTCTCCCTTTCTCTCTGAAATCAATAAAAATTCTATATAATAAAAGCATAGCATGCAAATTGTCCCCTCAACCGGAGTTCTTTCGGGAGTTCTACCAGGGGGCGGACTGGCCGGAAGAAGGGAAGGAGGCCCCAGCCAGCAGCTGCTAGAGACCCTACCAGTGCACAAATTTCATGCACTGGGCCTCTAGTATATCACTAAAAAAATAAAAATAAAAAGTACTGTTGGGAGCCAGAGATCTGGGAATTAGCACCAGTTTAGCTGCTTGTGAGCTTAAATAATTAGGGCTTCAGTTTTTTGTCTTTTAAAAGGAGATCCTTATAGCTTTAAGCTTCATTCTATAAAGTTTTTCACTAACATTTAAGTAATTCTCTTTCTTAACAAGTGGAATTTATTTCAGACTTATCTTGAGTACATTTAGCATTGGCATAGAGAACCATGATTGCTCTTTACCCCAGAATTTAAACTTATGCCAGTGAGCTAACATTTATATTTGGAGGTTACTTTATTGAGGGTTGTTGGAATACACCTTAAGATTTCCTAAGTGGGGCATGACAGAGGGAGTGCAGACAGAAAAAAAAATATGTTAGAGCCCTGGCCTGGTAACTGTTGGTTACAGCATCGTTCTGATATGCCAAGGTTGTGGGTTCGATCCCTAGTCAGGGCACATACAATGAATGCATAAATCAGTGGAACAACAAATCAATGTCTCTCTATCTTTCTCTCCCCCAAAAATAAATAATTAATTAAAAGAATATTAGAAATCAATAGTATAGACCTATACCATGGCTGTTAGTGCTTTTTTCTATACCAGCATTTTAAAGAAATTCTGTTGTACTGATTCTGTTAGCCCTACATATTTTTAATCTTTTGAGTGATGATCAAAGCAGGTCTGGCTTAAACCAGTACTTCCTAAACTTTTTCATATCATGACACATGTGGAAATAATTGTTGCTTCAAAGAGGAAAACTGGAGGCAGCCCACAGAAGACAGCTGGCCTGGAAGCGGTGGCTGTGCCCAGTCCCCACATGACCAACCTCAGCCTGTTTCTTCATATGAGCAATGGCGTTAATAACCCGTATCTAGTAAGATTGCTTTGACGAGCCACGAGATAAATATACATGGTGTCCAGATACTCAAAGTATTAATAGCATTTCATGATTATAAGTTAAAATAAGATCATTACATTAGAGCATTTTCAAGACTGTAAAGAGCTGTGTATTTTATGGCATTTATATAAATGAAGATGACCAAGGTATCTTATGGGAAAAGGGCTATACACTGGAAGGGTGAATGTGGAGACCATGTTTCCAGAACATGAACAGTGGCTACTCACCAAGTACACAGTCAAAAGCCAGAGGATATCAGGATCCCTAGAGAAATTCAAGAAGGTATTTGCAACATATAGTTGCTTAAGTTGAATAAACCTATTCTTTGATTACTTGAAAATTTAAACAGGAAATTATAGATGTGGATTGTTGTGTTTTCCTTGTTTACGATTGGAACATGCTCTGTTGGCTCTAAGGATCCTGTTAATTTAATGAAGATAATTTCCAGTAGCTGATACAAGGAGAGCTGAGCCGTAAGCTGATTTAGAAAACCAGATCCACACTGAGTTTACTGGTCCCAGTGTTAGCTAACACTGTGCTGTGGTACCAAGCAAACAGAAGCTCCTTCTCCAGAAAAAAGTGACCAGGGGTTTTTCTTAGGCACTGTAGTGTGTATGTGGGTTAACCTTCTTGTCAGCATTTTCCCAACTTGCTTGATGGTAAGACTCACCTGAGGTACTTTTACTAGTAAATGTACAGAGCACTCCTCTAGAAATGTTGAATCTGTAGATTCTGAGTTGGCCCAAGGATCAGATTCCCCTGGTCTTGCCTGCCTAGCAAGCACTCAGGGGCCTGGGCTAAAAGTTCTCTTGTTGATGAATACACCACACAAAAGGTAAGGTTACTTGAAAACGTAGAGCGAAACATGGCAGATTTTAAATGTTGCCGTTTTCCCCCCTTTTTTTTGGGTTAGTTCTCACCCAAGGATATTTTTCCATTGACTCTTAGAGAGAGTGGGAA